GTTAGCATTTCTTTTAGCAATAAAGTATTTTTTTTAATTAAGGTACTGCCATTGTTCTTTTTTTAAAGACATTATACTATTGCATACTCAATAGACTATAATATAGTGTAAATATAACTTATGTGTAACTATAACTTATGTGTAACTAGGAAACCAAAAAATTCATGTGACTTGTTTTATTGCAATATTTACTTTATGAAGATGATCTGGAACCAAAACCACAGTGTCTCCGAGGTATGCCTGTACTTAAATTTGTCAGTTATCTCTCTGTCACCTGGTGATTTTAATTCCTAGAAGATTCAAGTAACATTTACCATTTTGATGAAAGTAGATTTGTTTTTTAAAAAGTTGATTTTATCGTGAAATCTTTTTTGCATGGTCCTGTCTACTCAAATTTACTTATTAGCCTTCTGTTCTAAAGTAGCAAAATAAATCTCTGTAGTCTCTAAATACTTTTTTAATGTTTAAGAAAGATTGTCTTACCATGATAATAAAGAAAAACTTGTTTAAAATCTGCTAGCAAGGATATTTGAAACAGTTCTACAATGTTATTTACAATAAAGACATAGAAAATCAAAGGGTGGCAGTGTTACTAAGTATAATCTCTTCCCCCCAAATCCCAAACACATCAAACTTTAAATTCTCTTTACTTTAATAGGGGGAGGGGGAGATTTGGTAAATGGTAAGATCCTTTTTGTTACATTAAAATTATGACTTCTAGAAAGATGAGTGAAGGAGCAGAAGCTAGTGAACCAGCTTTAATAAAAACTACTCCAAAAAAAAAAAAGCTTAATTATTCCTTCTTTTCCACACCTTCCTTCCATCCCCCCCCCCCCCCCCCCGGCCAGGTCAAAACTTAAGGAAAAAAGACCTCACTTACAGTTCCCTCCCCTGGGGTAGATGTGAAGGTAAAATAAATGTGGAGGAATATGAAGAAACATGGCAGCAACTGTAGTGCCCACAATAGAAAACAGATCTACCTTTCCCAGCAGCGACTACCGCAGGCTCTTCTTTCCCTTCACTAGAATAGGGCAGGTAATTTTCATCTGGGAAATCCCTTGTTGCCACCATGGTGTAGGTGGCAGAGAATAGTCTTAAATTTAGGAAAATCTTCCTATTAAGGTATTGGTTTCATTGGTCAGCCTCTTTCAACTCTTCCCCACTCCAATCCAGCCCCCCATCAGGCTGCCTGTCATTTTAGTGTGGGTCTAACTTGTCACTCCCATGCTCAATAAACTTCAGTTAATCTTAGATCAACTATAAATTCCTGTGTTAATTGCATTTAAAGCTCTTCATAGCCTATCCTCAGTCTATCTTTCTAGTTCTATTACACCCCTCCATGGTCTAGCCCAGGGGTAGGGAACCTTTGGCCTTCAGGCCTTAGGTGCAGCCCTTTAATTGAATCCAAACTTCACAGAACAAATCACCTTAATAAAAGGATTTGTTCTGTAAAACTTGGACTCAGTCAAAAGTTTTATATAAATCTTTAAATGTGTGTTATCTCCTTCATTAGCATATAAAGTGTTAAAGGGCAGGAGTGATTTAATTTTGTATACCCAGTACTTGATGTATTTTTTTATTTATTTACATGTTTTAAAAAGCCATATTGTGAAGATGGAGGAATAAAAAAAATACTCAGATGTGTGTGTTCTTGCTTCTTTGAAGCTTTCTTTTACAAACTTCAGAAATGTTTGAAAGGAAATAGGAATCTCTAGGAACAGTATCAAGAAAAAACTAAAACTTACCTAAATGGATGAAGATTAACACAACCACAATAAAGACATTTTTTTAAATTTATTTTGATTTATCAGCAATCACTTCCATAAAATTTTGAATTTAAAATTTTTCTCCCCCTCCTTCCACATTTCCCTTCCCAAGACAGCGCACAATCTGGTATAGGATATACATATACATTCCTATTAAGCATATTTTCACATTAGTCATATCGTAAGGAACAATTAGAACCAATAGAAGGAACCACAAGAAAGAGGAAACAAAACAGAAGGAAAAAAAAGCAAATAGTATGCTCCGATCTGCATTCAAACTCCACAATTCTTTCTTTGGATGTGGATAACATTTTCCGTCATGAGACTTTTGGAGATGTCTTAGATCCTTGAATTGCTGAGAAAGGCTAAGTCTGTCACAGTTAGTCATTGAACAACATGGCTGTTATTGTGTACAACGTTCTGGTTCTGCTTACTTCACTTAGCATCAGTCCATACAAGTTTTTTCAGGTTTTTCTGAAGTCTGCTTGCTCACCATTTTTTTCATTTATTTATTTATTTGTTTGTTTGTTTGTCTATCTATTCATTCATTCATTTATTTGTTTGTTTATTTTACCCATATGCTTTTGAGTTGAAAATTTTTCTTCCTTTTCCTCCCCCCCACCCTCCCCAAGAAGGCACACAATCTGATATAGGCTTTACATTTACATACCCATTAAACATATTTTCACATTAGTGTAGTTGTAAGTAAAAATTAAAACCAATAGGAGGAACCATCAGAAAGATGAAACAAAACTCAACAGAAGGTAAAAATAAGTGATAGCGATTCAACTTCCATAGTTCTTTCTTTGGATGTGGACAGCATTTTCCATCCCGAGGCCTCTGGAGATGTCTTAGATCCTCGTAATGCTGAGAAGGGTTCAATTTAACAATCTTAGTCATCGCATAACATGGCTGTTACTGTGTACAAAGTCCTCTTGGTTCTGCTCACTTCACTCAGCATCAGACCATATAAGTCTTTCCAGGTTTTTCTGAAGTCAGCCTGTTCATCATTTCTTATAGCACAATAGTATTCCATTACATTCATATGCCACAACTTGTTCAGCCATTCCCCATTTGATGGACATCCCCTCAATTTCCAATTATTTTTGTACATGTGGGTCCTTTTCCCATTTTTATATCTCTTTGGGATACAGCCATAGAAGTGGTATTGCTGGGTCAAAGGGTATGGCCATTTTTATAGCCATTTGGACATAGTTCCAAATTGCTCATGGAAAGGCATAAAAATCCAAACAGGATTTTGTATTTGATCCTGGAAATAGGAGCAACTTAAGTTAATAGAATAGCAGGATGATGTGGTTGGACCTGTGCTTTTAGGAAGGTCAATTTGACAGGTGAGGGTGGAGAGAGATTTGTTGCAGGGAAACCAAAAAGCCGGCTAATGGAATAGTCCAGGGGCAAGGTAGTAAGGGCCTGCCTGCACCAGGGTGGTGGCATTGTCAGAAGAGAAGGAGGCATATATGAGAGATGTTAAGAAGATAACAGAACATATAACAATATATTATTTTATATTTTTATATTATATAATATAAAAGTATATTTATAAAATATGTATTTGTTTATAAAATATTATTTAGACTTATATTTACATTTTTATATGATTTATATGATTATAACAATATAATTTTAGAACATTAATATTTCATAACCAAACCACACCATAATGTTGCTTAACTGCACTGTGATATTGTTTGACCAATTGCCTGTGTATGACATTGTTTCTATGTACCTAGTTGTCCCCTATTGTTTTATGTAGCATGCTGTCTTTTTATTATGGGGTCAAGTTATTAGGCAAATATAGCAGCCTTATAAGATGACTAACTTGAAGGAACTCTGGTGTTTACACAGGGTGTCCTAAAAGTGCAGCTTTTAGCTTTAATAATTTCAAAAGTATGAATTCTGTGAACTTACCAAAAAAATTTGAAAATGTTATTTAAAAATTTTTAATATTGATGTTTCTTACTAAAACTCAACCTCACTTTACATTAACTTTAGTCAGTTTTCTAAGTGTAAAAAAACACAAGCTGCTGCTCAGTGACTGAAAGGATGCATTTTTGTAATCCTAGTCTTAGAATCATCCATAGAATAAAATTTTGATATGTACTTCAGAGTTTTGATGTGAACCCCACAAGAAGTCTTCTGGAGATAAATCAGGTAGGGGCAGCTAGGTGGCGCAGTGAATAAAGCACCAGCCCTGAAGACAGAAGGACGTGAGTTCAAATGTGGTCTCAGACCAAAGACTTAACACTTAAAAACTGTATGACCCTGGGCAAGTCACTTAATCCTAATTGCCTAGGGAAAAAAGAAAAGAAGAATCAGGTGCCAAGCAAGAAGACCTTGCCTACCAGTCCACCTAAGAAACATTCAGAAACTTTCTTTCATGTAATGCATAATGATTAAACTGTCGTGGTAGAATTTAAAAAATGGATTATTCAGAATTCACCAAACTAAGTCATTGTAAAAGAAATTTAAATAATTAAACTTTCAAATAATTTTTTGTAAGTTTGTAGTATTTTTACTTCTGTAGTTAATACTTAAAATTGCACAAAGGCTTTTGGAATACTATATTAGCATGTTTGTTAACGTCTCATTGATTTATAATTGCACTGTAGGGTATTTACTTCATTATTTGTATTGTGAATTAGTCATAAAAGAATGTGTTGTTCGGTTCAAGAGAAAATTAAGACAATCAGTTTTTAAACCAAGAATCTGTTTTTAAATGACTTACATTTTAAGTTGGCTGAATCAGATCATTTCTCTGTGTAAGGGTGTGCAAAAAAATTGCTTAATATTGGTAATTTTTGTAACCTATTTAGAATTATAATTTCTGCCTTGTCACATATTTTGTTCCATGATCTTTAATTTGTTCCGATTGGCTTTTCTTCATACTGTGTTTGGTAAGAGCACAGGGCATGAACTATGCATTTGATTTAGGTAATGGTGCTGTTTTTAGCTTGTTACAGTGAGCTTTGTCTGATATTCTAACATACAGTAATTAAGAACAATCTGAAAGTTTTCCTTGACTTGACATGATCGATTTTGAAAGCACCATTAAAATGTATGGCTTATTTCTGAAAGTAGTGTTTTTTGAACTTTTCATGTATATATTACCATATTTACTGAATTTTTTTTAATTTAAGGCTTAAATTGTTTGGATCTATTAGCTTGTGAAAATTATGTGTTGTGTTTCAATTTTAAGAGCTTTCTTTTCCACAGATAAAAGAGGAATCAAAGGTATAGGAAGATGTTGGGATCTGAACGTGGTGTAGTAGAAGAATGGCTCTCAGAATTCAAGGTAAATTGGGTTAAGGGATTAGAGAGGCTGTTAATGAGACAGTGTATGTCACTAACATAAAGGCTAAAAGCAATTCAAGCGTACAACTTAAAAATAATTACTAATTTTAAAAGGGCAGACTAATAGTAAATATGCTCTGTGTTCTATATAGGTAATTTTATAAGAAAGTTTACAGTTTCAGAAGTACTTAAGTAAAACAGTTGTGAATTATTGGCACTAAACAAGTAATGTGTTGTTTCTAAAAGATTAAAACTAAAGAATTAAAAATAACTTTTTAATTTCTTTTGAATCTGGATCAGTTTATAGTTTCTCATGAGTGTACATTCGTATGTGATTTGCGAGTTCCAGTTTTTTTAGTTGAATATACTGTTCATGTTAACTGTTTTCACTTTTGAAAGACTAACCCTTTGTCATCTTTCCTGCAGTAGCTAATGTGTAGAAACTTTTGGCTTCCCAAACATTAATCAGTTAATTTTTCTTTCTTCCTTTGGGATCTTCCTTTAGGCATTACCTGAAACTCAGATCACCAACTATGCAGCAACTCTGCACAGGAAAAAAACACTGGTACCAGCTCTCTATAAAGTCATTCAAGACTCAGATAATGAGGTAGGGGATTCATAAGAAATATGATTTTAATACATGCTAGTGCATGTGTTAATATATGCATAAATATTTAAATATTGACAGTTTTGCTTTCTTTTTTATTACTAGTACTATTGTTACTATTTTTATTTGGGGGTATGAAAAACTTTCTCTCTATTATTTCTTGTTCTGATAATTGCTTTGGCTTTTTTCTCCCTGCGCGAGTAAACAAAAGTTTCTGGAATGCTTTTAAAATCAGAGAAAAGGCTAGTCCATTTTGTTTTTTAATCTCTTCATTTCAGTGACCATTTTCACAGTAGGCCATTGAGATTGGTGCAATGAAAGTGTTTCATTTTCAGGAAGCCAAGTATTAACAATATCTGGATCAACATATTTATTAAAATTTATGTAAGCATTCTTTACGATGCATTGACTTATAATGACAAATAACTAAAGTTTATTCAAATTAATCAGTAAAATTAAATTCATGGTTTCCTTATAACAATGACTGCAACAACCGAGTGGTAAATTTAATATTAAAATAAAAAGAGGAAACATATTTCAATCTTAATCATTCAAATCCATAAAATTGGAGTAAGATTTTCTGGTTACTCAGCATTGTAGGATATAAAGAAAGGGAAAGTCAGAGATTTCTTAAATTTCAGTATAATCCCTTGGAAATATATACACATCACTTTCATATCAGATGTTAAATTTAAATGATGACACAAGTTGTCTGGAAAACTTTGATCACCACTGGTTTCTTATGTGCTTTAAAATGAAAATGAAAGGAACACACAGGAAAGTAGCTTCTTATCTTCCCAGATACAGCCTCCTCGATGCCTCTGCTGTTTACTGGAGTGAGTTTGAAGAAGTTCAGGTAATCTTCTCCTAACAAGCAGCTTGACTTAAAAGTGCTTCTTTATTTTCTATGTATAACTAAAAATTTGCTTACTGACTTATTGCTGCCTTCAACCTCGTTCCTTCTCTCCCACCCCCATCACCTAATCTTGGTATGGCTTAGAATTGGTCTTGTGCTTCTTATAAGTAGTAGCAGCAATTACCTTTATACTTAATGGACCCTTTTTTTCTTTGCAGTGTATTTCTAGTGTTTCACAATTTACCCAAGTACAGTTAGTAGAGCACATATACTTGCTTACGTCACAGTTTTCAGAATCCCAGACTCAAAAAGTTCTATTTCCTTTACCCCTTGTTTTGTGCTGTTTTAATGTTTAAAGTTTGCTTATTGTTAAAAATTAATTTATGTCTTGCCCTCTTTTTAGAGTGTATACTCTTAATGGGCAGTCATGCCCTGTTCTACATTATTTGTAATTTCCTCAAAATTACAATTATGCCATGTATGTGGTAGATTCACTGGATGAATTGATTGGATGAAAAATCAGCTTCTAAATGTTTGCATTAGGACTTAAATTATTTAAAGATAGCTTAAAAAACTGATTGGTTACACAAAACATATTTGTTTTTATCGATTTTTAGTAGAAATGTTATTTCTCCATCTTTATGTTTCTTCCCTGTGAAAGAGCTAATGATTGTGACTTTCACTAACGAGGATGTTTATGATAGTGTGGTTTTGAAACAAAGAGTGCCTTCCAGTAATGAGAATCTTTTGGTGAGACAGCAGGTTAGTGTAGTTGGAATATGGGTAATTTTTACTATTAAAATTTTTTTCTTGTGCTTACTTATGAAAAATGAAATACTCTGAACCTTTTCAATATTTAAAGTTTCTTACCTTTCAGTTGGTAGAAAGGAAATTTGAGGGGGAAAATGTAAGGGAAAAAAGCTGGACCAGTTTGTTTTCTTTGTTACATGCTAACAACACCAACAACAATAACAAGAGTAGCGTTTTATAGCACTTTCAAACATTTGCAAAACATTTTTTACAAATGTTATTTTGTTCTCACAACAACCCTGGTGGTTGTTGTTGCTGCTGTTATTATCCTCACTTTACAAATGAGGAAACTGTGGTAGAAAGAGGGTAAGTGACTTGCCCAAGGTCACACACTTTGTTAGTATCTGAAGCTGGATTTATACTCAAAACAAGAGTTAAGCCTGGAAAATTCCCAAAGGAGTAAAGACGTGTATGCCTGTGGTTTCATTTACATAGAAGCCTCTTGGTGAGGAACTTCTTCCCTCAATGTAGATCAACACCATATGTGCAATTTAGTCTTTGACAGTTCTCTAGAGCAGAGGTGTCAAACTCTTCCCCCTCCTCAGTACAGCCAAACCATATTAAAATATATTTGGGAAATAGTAAAATAAATAAAAATACAGTGCAATATAGATAATGTAATTTTTGTAGTTGTCTGAGTCAACATGCTGCTGCCAGGGATCCATTTTCATTTGAGTTTAACACTACTGGTTTAGAGCACTGAAAAATTAAGTGATTTGCTTGGAGTCACATAAGCTGTATTTGTCTGAGGTAGGTGGGACTTGAGCCCTGGTTTCCCAACCAGCTCTTTCCATTTGTTACACAGGCTGCCTCTGTCAGTCCTAAGAGTAAAAACACAAAACAAAACCTTTTTGGGTTACAAAATATCTTTAGGAAGGTACACTCATTTAAATAATTTTGATTCAGAATCATGTTTAAATAGTCTTTTAATTTTGATGTTACAAAGCTTCCTCTTACTCTCTCCCACTCCTAACCCCCCCCCCACAAAAAAGCCTCTTCCTTTAGGGGAAATCTCTATTTTTTTCCCATTGTTAATTAAAACCTGGACTTCTAAATAGTTATTCAGCTGTTTTAAATGAAGAATAAAGGGAAATACCAGTCCTTTTAGATAAAAATTTTTATAAGGCAAATTGCTCTTTATGAACCCTTGATTCATTCTATTCTGTCTTCTCTAGCAGATAATTCTTCTGTTATCTCCACTGTTTTGCTCATCTTCAATCAGCTGACAATCTTCCTATATCATGAGGCCCTGACTTTGAGGGGCTAAACCACTTGCAAAAACCACCTATAATCAGTGTCTCTCCTTACCTCTCACTCTCTTTAAACACTATGTAATTTAACTTCTTGACCTCATCATTCAGCTGAAACTGCTCTCTCCAAATGATCTCTTAATTCCCAAATCTAATGTGCTCTTCTTATTTCTTATCATTCTTGACCACCCTGCAGCCCTTGACACTGTTAATCACCTTCTCCTGGATATTCTTTCCTCTCTTGAGTTTTCATAGTATTTCATAATACCTGACTTCATTGCTCTACCTCCTAACGCTGTACTTTTTCACTGGTTGTCCCCATGCCTTGAATGCCCTGCTTCCTCATTTCCTTCTCCCAGTTTCCTTCAAGACTCAGCTCAAATATCACTGTCTGCAGCAGGCCTTTATTGGTTTCCTCTACTCCTAGTTCCTCTCCTCTGAGATTACCTTCCATTTATATGATATATGTAGCATATACATAGTTGTTTGCATGTTGTCTCCCCCATTAGAATGTGAACTACTTGAGGGCAGAAACAATGATTTTGCCATTCTTTGTGTGTCTTGCAGTTGCCACAGTGCCTAGTAAGCACTTAATAAATGTTTGTTGACTGACTACTGATTTTTCTATTTCCAGTAAAGCTTTGTGAAGACAGATTCTTTGGTGAAGACCATAATACAGCAGTATTTCTCCTTTAAAATAATTGTTTTCAGAATTTGCATCATATTCTTGTGACTATTCTGACTTTGTCCTTTAAGGGTGGAAAGTTAATCTTTAATATTTATGTTTGTTTTCACAAAATATACTTGCAGAAGTAACATTGCACATCCTAGTTCTGTCACTTTTGTCTTTGTGACCCTTGGGCAATTACTTGACCTGTCTGGGCCTTCATTTCCTCATCTATAAAATAAAAGGGTTAGACTAGATGATTTCTAAGATCTCTTCTAATTCCAACCAAGTAGTATTTTCAGAGCTAAGCTCAAAGCTAAAACTACTAGTATATTGATGAGGCCTACGTACTTGAAAAATCTTAGAGAATTTCACATTATTAGAAGAAATAAGAATTTATGCACACCATGTGCTTTGGAACAAATAAGCCAATTATATCGCTTTCCTTTCCCTTAATATTTCTTTGTTTTACTTTAAGTTTTTGATTTTTATTACTAAATTGTCCTAATTTTTAAAACAACAAAATGCCTGCTAATGTGTTATCCTTCTCAAATTCTTTCCTGATATAAAATTATTTTCTTCATAGTAACACTTGAGTCTGACCAAAAATTAACATTTTATACATCTTAATTGTCTGTCCTTTTGGTTACATTATAGTTACACTTTTAGGTTATGTTAATCTGAAGTGTGGAATTGTTGTAGGATTTAGTGATTTCTGATTTTAGAAAATTTGATGTAAAATTGTGGTTCCTGTTCCAGAGATTGATAAAAGGCAGAACCATAAAGAGCATATCTTCAATTAGTTTAATAAGCCACTTTTTGGATGTACTATGTGCACATCTTTGTGCTTCAGAGATGAAACATGACATAGTTCCTGCCCTCAAGAAATTTACTTAAACAAAACAAAACACTAGAATCATTAATTGGGGAGGGGGAGTAGAAGATTGAGAAAGGGCCATTAGATTTAGATCTCTCTTCTGAGAAAGCATTAGGGGTAAAGCTGAATTGCAAGGGGTTGAGGAGTGTACAGGAAGAGACAGAAAGTATAAATCACTTTCTAGGAGTTTACTAGTGAAGGAGAAGACAGATATAGAGTAATATCTTGAATTAAGGCTAGTGCTTTGTTTTATTTTTTTATTTTGTTTTTAAACATATAGGAGATTAGAGCATGTTTTTAGGCAGTTAAAAAAGGATCCAGATGAGAGAAAGAGAATGAATCACTGGACTCAGCTCCTGACCCCAGGACACAAGTGGAATCTTAGCCTTAACAAGAAGGGAGGGACACTTCATCTCCTTAGGCAAAGATGGGTATAGTTATGCTCAAGCAGACTTCCAGATAGAGTTAGGATCATATAATCTCAATAGAATTATGGGGCATACAAGCCATAGACTTTTCCTTTTTAAAGTTTTGGTATTAAATCCTGGTAAAAAACAAAGAATTGACTATACCATGTCCAGGTAGGGCACAATCTCTAATATATTTTTAGGAAAAATACAGTATATGTATAATATATTTTCAGGAAAAATACAGCAAAATACGTTTTACTGATAAAATTTTCAATTTCTAGGCAATGCATTTCCCTCAGAATAAGTAAAACTGTGTGATTTTAGAGGGGATCTAGAATTCAGAAGAAACGTGAAAACAGTATTTCTGCATTTCTGTCATTTAAAAAAGTTTTTGTATAAAGATAATTTTTGAAACATAAAACACAGCTATCAGTTTGCTTTAATTCTTTTAAACATATCCATCTATTTCTTTGTATTAGCAACTTTTTGTTCTCAAGGATGGAGTGACCTGTAATTTTTATTATAATCTTACTTGAAATGTGAGGTGAAAAGCAAAGACACTTAAATATTTAATTTCCAATTATTGGCATAAGTTGGTTTTTAAAAAAAAATAACTGGGACTTCTTAGCAAGTAAGATAAGAGAAAAATAAGGGAAAGGAAAACTTGAAGAAGTGTTATTGTACTGTATTTGTAAAGGTCAGTTGTCGTTTGCTCCCTTCATAACCCTTACTAAAGTATAATTGAAAGGTATGCCAATATGTTATAACCCTGTTGTTGGGGGACCTCTTTTATTGAAGAGGTTAACACTACAAAAACTCTAATTTTAGAATACCTTGAAGGACCATGATGCTACAGTAATGCTGTGCAATTTTTTTTTAGCCATAAGGCAAAGAAAATAGAGATATGATGAAAATTTTTCATTTCAAAGTAAATAACAAAATTTTTGCATCAGTTGACATACCTGGTCCTTTTTGTGTTAGTCTGATTCAGTCTCTTTTTCTATATTGGAGTCAGGAGTACAAATTTGGTTGATGTTGCCATGTGACTGAAATGAATTAAAAATATACAGTAATCTAGATAACTGAGTTTTTTCCTATTTCTTCATGTGTAATTGTTTCATTTCCTCCTTATGTAGTCATAACCCAAAAAAAGATGATTGTAATTATCCTGTTTTATTTTTCCTTTAGCTCCTAGAGCCTGTCTGTCACCAGCTTTTTGAGCTATATCGTAGTTCTGAAGTTCGGCTCAAGAGATTCACTCTACAGTTCTTACCAGAATTGATATGGGTTTATTTACGACTTACTGTTAGCCGAGACAGACAGAGTAATGGTTGTATAGAAGCACTGCTACTAGGGATCTATAATTTGGTAAGTAAAAGGAACTCTGAGAAGCTATTTTGTATCTTTAAGTAAATTTAAAACAAATCCTCTGAAATAATGTAATAATTTTAGATCCATGATAAAATGATAAAAATGTACTTAGGGAGAAATACCAAAATTATATATTTTTTCACTGAGTTACTTTAAACTGAGTGTGTACTAGATATTTAATATACTTGTCACTTTAATTTTTTTTTTTTGTGGCCAGTTGGGGTTGAGTGACTTGCCCAGAGTCACACAGCTAGGTGAGTGCTATGTGTCTGAGGCCAGATTTGAACTCAGGTCCTCCTGACTCCAGGGCCTCTGCTCTATCCACTGCGCCACCTAGCTGCCCCCACTTCAATTTTTAAAAAAATTTTTTGAATATCTTGTTTTTTCCCAATTACATGTAAAAACTGTTTTTAGCATTTAACATTTTGAGTTCCACATTCTCTCCCTCCCCATCCCCCCAAGACAGCAAGCAGTTTGCTATAGGTTATACATGTGTAATCATGTGAAACAATTTCCATATTAGTTATGTTGTGAAAGAAAACACAAACCAAAAAAAAGCTCACAAAAAATAAAGGTGAAAAATAATATGCTTTGACCTGCACTTAGACTGCATCAGTTTTCTCTCTGGAGGTGGATAGCATTTTTCATCATGAATCTTTTGGTAGCTGAGTCATTCATAGTTGATCATCATTCAGTCATGCAGTATTGCTGTTACTGTATACAATGTGCTTTTGATTCTGCTCACATCAGTTTGTATCAGTTCATGTAAGTCTTTCCAGTTTTTTCTGAAATCCTGATCATTTCTTATAGCACAGTAGTCTTCCGTCACAATCGTATTCCACAGTTTCTTCAGCCATTCCCCAGTTCAGCCATTCCTCATCTGGGCCATTCAGGACATCCCCTCAATTTCCAATTCTTTGCCACCACAAAAAGAGCTGCTATAAATGTCTTTGTACAAATAAGTCTTTTTCCTTTTTCTTTTGATCTTTTTGGGATACAGACCTAGTAGTGCTATTCCTGGGTCAAAAAGTACGCACAGTTTCGTAACTCTTTGGTCATAGTTCTAAATTGTTCCCCAGAATGGACCAGTTCACAATTCCATCAGCAGTGCTTTAGTGTCCCAGTTTTCTCACATCTCCTCCAACATTTATCATTTTCCTTTTCTGTTATATTAGCAACTTGCATACATGTGAGGTGGTACCTCAGAGTTGTTTGATTTGGATTTCTCTAATCAATAATAATTTAAAGTATTTTTTCAGTTAACCATAGATAGCTTTGATTTCTTCATCTGTAAACTACCTGTTTGTATGTGTTGACCATTTATCAATCGGGAAATGACTTATATTCTTATAAATTTGGCTTAATTCTCTATGTATTTGAGAAACAAATTTTTTTGTAAAAAAAAATTTCCCAGCTTCCTGCTTTCCTTCTAATCTTGGTGACATTAGTTTTGTCTAATTTTATATCATCAAAATCATCCATTTTACATCTCATAGTGCCCACTATCTCTTGGTTGGTCATAGATTCTTCCCTTCTCCATAGGTCTGACAGGTAAACTTTTCTATGCTCTCCTAATTTTGACTGTATCTTGGTATATAGTGAGAGATGTTGCTCTATATCTGGTTTCTGCCAAACTGTTTTCCAGTTTTCCCAGCAGTTTTTGTCAGATAGTGGGTTCTTGTCTCAAAAGCTTGGATCTTTGGGTTTATCAGACAGTAGGTTCCTGTGGTCATTTACTACGGTATATTGTTTACCTAATCTGTTCAACTGATTCACCACTGTATTTCTATGCCAAGTACCAGATTATTTTGATGATTTCTGTTTTGTAACATAATTTGAGATCTGGTATAGCTAGGCTGCCTTCCTTCACTTTTTTTTCATTACTTCCCTTAATATTCTTGACCTTTTATTCTTCCAGATGAAATTTGTTTTTATATTTTCTAGCCCTATAAAATAAGTTTTTGGTAGTTTGATTGGTATGGCGCTGAATAAGTAAATTTAGGTAAAATTGTCATTTTTATTATATTGACTCAACCATGAGCAATTAATATTTTTCAAAATGCTGAGATCTGGCTTTATTTGTGTAAAAAGTTTTATAGTTGTGGTTGTATAATTCCTGGGTTTGTCTTGGCAGGTAGATTCCCAAGTACTTTATATTATCTACAGTTATTTTAAATGAAATTTCTCTTTCTATCTCTTGTGGCTGGACTTTGTTGGTAACATATAGAAATGCTGATAGGTTTTTTGTTGTTGTTGTTTATTTGGTTATTTTACATGCCGAAACTTTGCTAATGTTGTTAATTATTTTGAGTGATTTTTTTAGTTGATTCTCTAGGATTCTCTAAGTATATCATCATATCATCTTCAAAGAGTGATAGTTTTGTTTCCTCATTGCCTATTCTAATTCCTTCAATTTCTTTTATCACTATAGCTAGCATTTTTAGTACAATATTGAATAACAGTGATGATAGTGGGTATCCTTGCTTCACCCCTGATCTTACTGGGAAGGCTTCTAGCTTATCCCTCTTACAGGTAATGCTTGCTGACGGTTTTAGATAGATACCGCTTATCATTTTAAAGAAAAATCCAATTTTAAACTCAGAAGCATATGGAAGTGATTGTTGATAAATCAAAATAAATTAATAAAACAAAATAAAATAAAACAAAAGAAAGATCCATTTATTCCTATACTTTCTAGGGTTTATAATAGGAATAAATGTTGTGTTTTGTCAAAAGCTTTTTCTGCATCTGTTGAGATAATCATATTATTTCTGTCGGTTTTGTTATTTATATAGTGAGTTATGCTTATAGTTTTCCTAATATTGAACCCACTCTGCATTCCTGGTATAAATCTCACCTGGTCATAGTGATCATTGTGATCTGTTGCTGTAATCTCTTTGCTAACATTTTATTTAAATTTTTTGCATCAATATTCATTAGAAAAATTGATCTATAGTTTACATTCTCTGTTTTTGCTATATATTTGTGTGCTAATTTTTAGCCTATTTTTCCAAATAGTTTATATTCTATTGGAATTAATTATTCTTTAAATATTTGGTAGAATTCACTTGTGAATCCATCTAGTCCTGGAGATTTTTTTTTTCTTAGGGACCTCATTGATGGCTTGTTCAATTTGTTTTTCCAAGATAGGGTTATTTACATATTTTGTTTCCTCTTCTGTTAATCTGGGCAATTTATATTTTTGTAAATATCCATGCATTTACTTAGTTTGTTAGATTTATTGGCCTATAATTGGGCAAAATAGCTCCTAATAGTTGTTTTAAATTCCTCCTCGTTAGTGGTAAATTCATCTTTTTCATTTTTGATACTGATAATTTGGTTTTCTTCTTATTTTTAATCAAATTAACCAATAGTTTTTCTATTTTTATTTTATTTTATTTTTTCATAAAGCCAGCTCCTAGTTTTATATATTAGTTCAATGGTTTTCTTACTTTCAATTTTATTAGTCTGATTTGATTTTCAAGATTTCCAATAGTTGATAGAGCTCCAGCCTTGGAGTCAGGAGGACCTAAATTCAAATTTGGCCTCAGGCATGTGACACTTAGTAGCTGTATGACCCTGGGCAAGTCACTTAATCCCAATTGCCTCACCAAAAAAAAGCTAAAAAAAAAAAGATTTCCAATTTGGTATTTAATTGGGAATTTTTAATTTCTTCTTTTTTGAGGTTTTTTTTTTTTAAAGTTTCATGGCCAGTTCATTGATCTGCTCTTTCTCTGTTTTATTGATGTAAGCATTTAGAGATACAAAATTTCTCCTAAGTTCTGCTTTGGCTGCATCCCATAAATTTTGGTTTGTTGTCTTTCTCTCTAATGAAATTATGGATTGTTTCTATGATTTGACCTTTGACCTACTCATTCCTTAGCATTAGATTATTTATTTTCCAATTAATTTTTATTCTGTTTCCATAGCCCTTTTTGAAAGTAATTTTTATTGCATTATGATCTGAAAAGGGTCCATTTAATATTTCTGCTTTTTTGCATTTGATTTTGAGGTTTTTATGAAAAAAAAGTAAAATATCTCATTGGAGAAACAACTTACCTGGAAAATAGATGCAGGAGAGATCATTTAAGAATTAATTGGACTACCTCAAAGCCATGATCATAAAAGAGGCAAGGTATCATCTTTCAAGAAAATCTCAAGGAAAACTGCCCTGATATTCATTTCCTTAACTCTTCCTCCTCCTCCTCCTTCTCTTCCTCCTCCCCACCTTCTAATGAGGGTAAGGCATCTTCCCCTCCGTTGTAAAAGCTTTCTTTTTTTTTTAATATACATTTATTTATTTTTAGTTTTCAACATTCACTTCCACAAGATTTTGAGTTCCAAATTTTCACCCCATCTTGCCCCTCCCCCCACCCCAAGATGGCATGCATTCTGACTACCCCTTCCCTTAGTCTGTCCTCTCTTCTATCTCTCTCCCCTTCTCTTATCCCCTTCCCCTTCTATTTTCCTGTAGGGCACGATAGACTTCTGTACCCCATTTCCTGTATTTCTTATTTCCCAGTAGCATGTGAAAACATTTTTTTTAAACATATGTTTTTAAAACTTTAGGTTTCAAATTTTCTCTCTTCCTCCCTCCCCACCCACCCTCATTGAAAAGGCAAGCAACTCAACATAAGTTGTACATGTGCAGTTATGCAAAACACGTCCATAGTAGACATGTTGTGAAAAACTAACTCTTATTTCCCTTAATCCTATCCTGCCCTCCCATTTATTCTATTCTTTCTTTTGACTCTGTCCCTCCTCAGAAGTATTTCCTTCTGATTACCCCCTTTCCCAATCTGCCCTCCTCTCTATCATCCCCCTGATCTCTTGTCTCCTTCTCCCCCTATTTTCCTGTAGGGTGAGACAGATTTCCATACCAAATTGAATGTGTATGTTATTCCCTCCTTAAGCCAAATCCTATGAGAATAAGATTCATTCATTCCCTCTCATCTTCCCCTGTTTCCCCTCCACTGTAAGAGACTTTTCTTTTCTGT